GTGCCTCACTTTGATCATCCTTAAATTCTTTTTTATGATGACATCAAGAACCCTCATGGCTTGAGTTGAGGATCACTTTCCTTTTGGGGAACCTAACTGAGACCCCCGACCCAGTGACATTATGACTCTCCAATTCTTAGCAGGATGAACTAAGAAAGAGTATTTTTCGGAACATAGTGATGAGGGGGTGTAGTAGTTTGCTAGGGCTACCACAACAGAATACCACAAATTGGGTTGCTTAAACCACAAAAAACTTATTATTTCATAATTCTGGAAGCTAGAAGTCTGGGATCGAGCTTCTTCTGAGACTTTTCATTCTCCTGTAGATAGTCTTTTCCCTGTGTCTTCACATGTGTCTTATCTCCTTATGGGGCACCAGTCGACTATACTGGATTAGGGCTCACCCATGCGACTTCATTCTATCTTAATTACCTTTTAAAGAAAATAAATTCAAATAAAGTCCCACTCTGGAGGTTAGGACTTCAATATATGAATTTGGTGAGCACAATTAAGCCCGAAACAGTAGAATAGTGGTGGGGGGGTCTACAGTGAAAAACTGGTGGAAGATCAAGTAATAACCCCAAGTTCAAATACCCACAGAATACAGGAAGATAGATAAAATGAGCAGAGAAGTTGGGAGGGGAAGAGGCATTCCCATTTAGAAGAGAAACAGTCACCCTTAGCAGTCTTAGCAGACTCTGTCATGGCAAAATGCAGGCATAGGATAGCCAGTTTCTCTGATATTTAAAGACAAAGCATTTTTTTTTTTAAATGTGAATTCTTCTGATCTTCAAATGTTGGAAATGAATTCACGTATTTTCAAGCACTATTAAAGATGTGTGTTTCCACCTGAGGACCAGATATGGTACAGGGATCACCACTGTGCAACTTCTGAGGCTGCCAGAGGCTGTTCATAAGACCCAGCAGTCAGCAGTTGGGGTTCAGACATGAAGATCCAGCCGGTGCCACCCAGGTTCAGATGTGTTTTTAAAAGCTGATTGTCAATGAGCTGGAAAGGAAAGGAATAAAACACATTATGATCATTCTAAGAAAGCATCTCTAATTCATGGATCATTTACTATTGATTATCGATACAAATGCTATTGTGCATGCCCTATGTCTGGTTTTAAAACCTCTCTATCTCTGGAGTTTTTAATCTATTTGGAAGCACTATATAATAAGCAGCACATGACAATTACTTCCTTCACTACTCCCTGTAATCAAGATAAATTATCTTGCTATTGATGTAAATAGGATATGAAAATCTATAGAGTTCTCCTGAAGAGTATAAACTCTACATTATGCTCACCACATTTGAATTTTGCAGCAAAAATAATTTGGGGGTCAATTTAAAATACATCCCCCCCAACTTTTATTGCCATCCATCCTGAGATCACCTCCAGAAACAACTAGCAAACCATACCAGTAAAAAATATTTAGCCTAATGTTGATTTTTATTGCTATTATTACTTATCCCTTATAGAGCCCTTTATGTTCTCAGGCCTATGGCAACATCCAACATTCACAGGTGTCTTATTACAAATGTATTTTACATATTATACATATTTATTTATGATTCCTTCTCCCCATTGCCAAACAACATCTTAGGAAAATTCAAAGTA